TCAATCTATCTAATCTATCATCTATCTATCATCTATCTATCTATCTATCTTCTATCTATCTATCAATCTATCTAATCTATCATCTATCTATCATCTATCTATCTATCTATCTTCTATCTATCTATCAATCTATCTAATCTATCATCTATCTATCTATCTATCTATCATCTATCTATCTATCTATCTATCTATCTATCTATCTCTTGTGTACCTGTGTGTGTGCTTGCATGCACGAACACAACTTACTGAATCCATTTAGTGGTGCTCATATGCATGTGTGTCTTGTGTACCTGTGTGTGTGCTTGCACGCACGAACACAACTTACTGAATCCATTTAGTGGTGCTCATATGCATGTGTGTTTAGGGATGACCACTTGGGGTTGGATAATCCATTAGGGCTATCCTGGAGAAAACGGGTTTGCCCCCTCTCCGTAGGCTCTGACTGCCAGCAGCTCTGCACCCAGAGTCACCCTGTGACTTCCCCCATCCATGCTGCATGTCAGCTGCTGCTGTCACGACACAGGTCCAGGCAGCCATATTGTTGAGATTTCATGGGCGTAGCTTGCGACCCTGTCCTATCTAGACTGCATTATCTAGCAGCAGGCGTCCTGGTCCTCTGGCTCTTACAATCGCTTTGCCCCCTCTTCCGCGACATCCCGAGCCTTAGGTGTAGGGACTGCCTTTTAGACTTGTCTGTTGGGGCTGGGCACTCAGTCACTCATTCTCTGCATCTGGAGCACTGGGACTCTAGACTACTTCTGAGTCTCACTGACTCTGGGGTTCAAAGGTCCTCTGCAGTGTGAGGTGGCCTATGCACACCAGGCAGGGCCCTTGTCCCAGCCCTGCTGACCTCTGCTGTGCTCCTTATCCACACAGCAGAAGTCATTTTCTGTGCCAAAGAGGCTAACGGCTTCCAGAGGCTCAGCGTGTTCACTCAGCTGGTGAGTCCCCTGTCTCTGCAGCAGGGGGGAGGGAGGGTCTGCCCAATGTGCCACACTGCTGTGGAGGGATGCTGCCACGCAGGTCTCCCTCTTCCCCTACATGGTGTTTCCTAGCTCCTAGGAACTTTCTCAGAAGTATTTTCCAGAGCCAACAGTGGAGGTGAGCTGTAGTCACTTGGTATCTAGACCTTCTCTCCATGGGCTGGGGGAGCGCTGCAAGCTGGAGTCTCATAGCATTAACAGACCCTCCGCCCCTCTCAACAGCCTCCGGAGATGCACGAGTTGACGCTGCACCACTACTGAAGGGCATTCAAAGTTCCACTGCACTTGGGAGAGAGTTTACTGGCTAAAAAGCAAAGCCTGAACACTGCAGGAGGATGTGCAGCGGTCCAGCTCTGCTTTGTCTTTGGGGATAATTCGCCTGATGGACGGAGGCAGACAAGCAAAGTAGCCATGCCTGGTTTCCAGCCCACCCCTCTACTTCCCTGACACTCTGTTTTTCCACATTCTGTCACCCCCGCCCCCTGCATACAGATCTGTGAGTGGGGGCACCGGAGCGGACAGTTTGGCACATGTTCTCTAAAAACTCACCGGCTTACCACAACCTCAGTTTCCCATTTATAACACAGTATCTACCTGGCAGGGCACTGTGAGGGTCAAGTGAGATCATGTGGTCCAGGGGTCAGAAACCAGCATATATCAAAGACAAGGGCTTTGAGAGATCTGGGGACTCTAAGCAGGGCCCTGTCAGTCTCACACCTTGTGTCCCCAGGAGGGTCCCTGAACTCCTGAGGCACACTTGGCGCCTATCAGGCCCACTCCCTCCCCACGCATTAGTGAGCCAGATTTCTGTGTACAGGGAACTGAACTCTACTGGTACCGACCTTATTTTGGTGTCTTCTGGGCACCTCTTGAGTAAATGAGGAAATGGAGTACTTTAAAGCAATGCTGCATTTCGAGATGGGTGCATTTCGTGTTATCCTCAAGCCCCAGGTTAAAACAAAAGTCAGAGTGCTCAGGATACACATTTCATGAAGGATTTTACAGGTGGCAGTCATGGGGTACTATGACAAGGCTAGGGATAGGAAAGCATTGGGAGAATTTGTGTACTTACAGGAGTTCTGTAACACAGACAGTAAACGAGGTAGTATGCATACCATGTTAATGGGGGATGATCGTGTCGCTTATGTGAAGCTTCGTAGGTGTAGCTGAACACAGAGCAGAAACTTACTATGGCTGTGAAAAATGGAAGAATTGCCTGGGGAGGTTGTGCAGAGTAGCTCCAAGTTGGCTAAGCTAGCCAGTACTCAGAGAGGAGTGGGTCTACCCCTTCAACTCCTGCCCTCCTTCACAAGCCTATCTGTCCTCCTGCCAGGAGTAGGTGAGCTCTGGCTGTCTCTGACACCAAGCTGATGTTACCTGAGCAGTTAAGGCTGAGAAGGGGAACCCTCCTGTGAAGCCTCACACCTGGGGCTTTGGAGTCTCCAGCCAACCCACTGATACCTTCCAGAAGGCCCCCAGCAGGTGTTAAGTGGGAAGATTTCATCCCAAAGGCTAAGGAACAAACGATGCTCCTCTCCACTGGCCTCCAATTTTGTGTCCATTTCAACTACACTTAAAACGAGACCTCATGACTTCTGTTTTTACAGCTAAAAGTCAACTGAAAAATCTGTAACAAACCCACACCCATACCAAAGAAAGGGGTATCTGATGTGAGGAGCATCTACCCTTTGAAAGCCAACAGAAACCATGACGAATGAAACTCTTCAATTCCACTTTTACCCTCTCTCAATGCTTGGAAAGAAGATACAGAGGGCCAAGCTCCAGTGGTGCCTCAACAGACAATTTCCCCTTGAGGGATGAAAACAAAACTGTGATTACAAAATGGCTCTTTAATAAGACGCCCAGCCACTGTGGTTTTTGTTTTCCGCATTCATTTCTTTCCTGGCTGAGAGCAGGTCTTTCAGCGGCAAGACAGGAGTAATTGTGAAGGGAAGAGAAAGAGGATGGTGATATAAATCAGGAAAGGTTAATGACCGGGATGTGAAGAAGGGACTTGTTTACAGAAATAGGGTGCAATTTAAAATTTACAAGAGATTTAATGCCACTGCTTGGCAATCGCTAGAATCAACAGCCCAGAAAAACAGTGACATTAAGAAAAATATTACAGTTATAATCATTCCCAAATAAGTCAATTAGTGTTAGGGCACGAGCTCGCCATTACGTGACCCATTTGCCTTGCACTTAAGTGAAAAAAAATTCCCCCTATTATACCAGGCTCGCTGGATTGTGACCTGTTTTGCATCATGCGTATTCCCCGCCAGCCCCCCTTCGGTGCACTTGGGCGGATGGTACTGGTTTTCCCTTGCCTGGCATCAAAATAATTCTGACCCTTGACATTTGTAATCATAAAAAAAAGGCAATTTATAATTGTGTTGTTCAAATGAAGGTGGGGAAAATCCAATCTGCTATTATACAGAAGCAATGACGGCTGTCTTCGGAGAAAAAAGCAACGCAAGTCAATTTGTGAACTTTGGCACCAGACGACCTTTAGAAACACAACAATACACGGAATTTACAAGCAACAGCAGTCCATGCAAATGGCCCAGGCTTGCCTGCCTCTGGATTAGAGCTGCAGAGAACATTATGGAGAATGCTTCCACAAAACAAATTAAGACTGTTACTTAAATGTCACGGCACACTATTGTATTTGGCTACAGATCATTACACCTGATACTAACACTTTTAAAAACTGTAATAACTTGGGAAATATTACATTGAGTGCCCACATGTATAAAGGAAAAGGGAAAAAAAAAGAGAGGGGAAAATAGGTTTCCAAAGTAATTTAAACATCACTACCCAGGACTGAAGGGAAAAGGTCAGAACTTAAGTAAGCTAAAAGGGACATGAATGGTAAAACAGAACACACAAACAGAGAGATGGAAAGACCACAAAACGACTCTGCAAACACAACAGGGAGCATGCGGCTGTGGGCGAGCGTGCTTCCATGTCTGCGTGGGAAGGGAGGCGGGGCGGTGCGGGCAGAGAGGTGCGCGTTACCTTCGGTGTTGGTGCTGCTGCTGCTGTATATATTTCGCAGGCTACCAACACGGTTTAGTTTCCATGCTTTGCGTTTGGCTGCATCCCGAGAGCAGAGAGGGCAGAGGGAGAAGAGAGAGGAAACAAAACGGGAAAGAAAACCAATGAGAAAGGGAGAAAAGAAACGTCAAAGCAGCACATGACGTCACGTCCAGCACAGCAGCTAGGCACCCCAGGGCCTTCTCCGGGGGCCACTCCACTCCCTGGAGGCCAGCACAGAGGGGCTTGGCGAGGGTCAGGGTGGGCCAGCATCAGCAGTGCAGTCTGCACCAACTCAAAGTTCCCAGGGAGAACAGTGCATGCACACCTTTGCAAGCTCCAGGCTGCCCAAAGCGGGGCCAACGCTGGCCTTGGGGGCTGTGGCACTCTCAGACAGAAGTGCAGTCATCCAAAGCCATATGCTCTTTATCCGGGCAATGGACAGCCACAGCAAAGGTCTAGGGCCATTTTCCTTCCCTGGAGGCCTGGTAGACTCGGAATTTCGAGGACCCCTCCCCATCCCAGCCTCCTTAAAACTCTGCAGAAAGGACAGACACCAAGTCACCTCTAGTGGGACATTGGGGCTGGGAGAGAAATCTGGAGCCAAGCAGGACATGGTACACAGTGTGTGATGCCCAGCCGACATGTGATAGAGGGGCACTCTGAAGACATGTTCTCCATCCCACTTGGCCCTATCCTGCTAATGGTCACCTCCAGGGGGACAAGGTTACCTAAGGTTTGGAAGAGGGTGGCCTGAGGATTCCCTCAGACATGAGGGAATGGTTCAGGAGACAGTTCACAGAACCCAAGAAGACATCACAGGCTCCTCACGGGGCCATCTGCCTTTCAACCCCACAGTCAGGAAGGGAACCCACTGGAAGCGTCCATTAGGTGATATGGTTAGCACAGGTGGGAGGCCAGACTGACCCCTTGACTCAGAAAGCAAGGGCTGGCCAAGTGCCCATGCCAAGGCATCCCTGACTCGAGATGGAGCACCCATCCTGCCTGCTGTGCTGTTAGAGCCAGATGCTTAGCCACAGTGTGACGACAGGCCCCGGTGACCTGTGAACACCAGGTCTCTAGTGGGCAGCAAATGAGTGACCCAGGGTGATGCCTAGGTGAGTTCAGGTGCTGAAGTTAATCTCATTTCTTTATAAAGGACAGTACAAAATACACGCAGGAAACCTAAACTGTAGGAAGTACATAGAATTCTGAAACACAGCCCTGTATCTTTAGAATGCAAACTTCACTTTAATTTTGAGAGCAAGCTATTGTGAGTTCATTGGCCGCTGACAAAACGATTACAAAGCTGCTTTAATTAGACACCAAGGCTTACCCAAGGCATCAACAAATAATTGAGCAAGGAATGAAACCTGCAAGCAGTGGGTGCCTGTAGTTCGTGACGTGTCCTACTGCATACAGGTCTAAGTGCAACTTTTCACGGGTGAAGAAGTTTCTCTCATTGCTCCATCTTCAAGGTCTCCTCAGTGTCTGTCTTGAGGAACACCACACCTGGGACAGCTTTTCAGGTGTTCACCAGTATGAAGTCCTGATAAGCAGTGAAGAACGGCCATGGTTTTGAGCAGAAACAGTCAACGGCTTGGTGCCAGGCCCCGCGGGTGTGCTGATGCGCTTGCACACCTGGCACGATTCATTTCTCAGCGGTGGAAGCTCTGGAATCTTGGCGTATGTTTCACAAGTTCCAGAAAGAAGTGGCCACTGAGAAGCTTTAAGAGGAGCTTACCTCCTAAAACATTTACATATAAATTGGCAGAATCCAGGCTGGCACCCGGGAAGAGCAGGGAACGTTTCCGGCTGCCCCAGCTCTGCATTCCTCATACCCAGTCTCCCATTACTGCTGGCGTGCGTAAGTGAACTTGCAGCCTGGCTTTCTATTAACCTATTGATGAAATAATCAATTTCAACGCATAAAATGTCACGGCTTTTTCTTCCTCTTAAACAAATGACTGTTTTCTGGCTGATACCAAGGTCCTGATACGTGCATCTGTCTCCTGGGCATTGATTGCTCTAAGTTGCCTTGTTTAGAAGCTTCCCAAAGAGAAATACAATCACATGATCACTGATAACATCTCAGGGGACTAGGAGATACCACGTCAAATGGAGCCTGGGGTACTCCAGCCTGATGCTGTGGACCACTGACCATCACCGCCCTCCCCCCCATAGCATCCTTTGGTCTTGGGTTTGGGCAGTAGGTGACTCCTAAGGCCATCATGATAAAAAAAAAAAAAAAGACATTTTTTTCTGAGCAATATTTAATTATTCCAAGAAAGTCTGGCCACATAGCCCAGGCTAGCCTCAAACTCCTCCTACCTTGGTCTTCCAAGTACTGGGACTATGATCATGCAACATTATATCCCACTTGGCTAATCTTTTAATAAAATTTCAGGTTAAAAAGAAAAACTTCAGAGCTGGGCATGCCACATGCCTTTAATCCCAGCACTTGGGAGGCTAAGGCAGGCAGTTCTCTATGAGTTCAAGGCTAGCCTGGTCTACATAGTGAGTTCCAGGTCAGCTGGGGCTACAGGGACACCCTGTCTCAAAAAGACCAAAAAAAGAAAGAAAACCCAGAACATGTTTTTTCTTCCTACACAGGCTAGCCATTTAGATGTTATTATTAATGTTATCTCCTCATACACCTAGTTAACATCAGAATTCTATGAATAGTTGGAAAAAGCACAGCAAGCTATGGGTATCATCTTATTTTTCCTATCCTGCATTTTTAAGCCTTAGTCTCTTTCATAGATGGGTTTAACCTGGACTTGAGCAGCTATTTAAATGGTTCACGGCCTCAGCAAGTTCTCTTATGTTTGAAATTTCCAAGGGTGGACATCCCAAAACACGCGACTTCAGACTCCGCTCGTGATCTTGTCCGAGTGCAGACCCTGAGTTGGCCTCTTCTCCCTTCTGCCTGCAAATCAAACGGAACTTTCTCAACTCTAACATGGGCCAACAAAGTCACCACACTGGGCCACAGTGAGCACAGTATCGTCCTCACGATGGCACCAAGCCATGTGAGCTGTCATACTCAGGTCTGCTAGGAATTACCATGGCAAGGAAGTCAATGGCTGAGAGCTGCTGCATGACTTTTTCTAACTGCTGTGGCAAAATTCCTGGCAGAAGCAGCTTATACAAGGGAGGATTTATTTTGGCTCACAGTCTGACAGTCCAGTCCATCATGGAAAGAAGCCATGGAGGCAGGAGAAGTGGTCACGTGGCATCCAGGGTTGGGAAGCAGAGGGAGATGGATGTGCTGCTCAGTTTGCTTTCTCCTTTTGATTCAGTCCAGGATCCCTGCCCGTGGGATGGTGCTGCCCAATTCAGGATGCTTCCTCCCACCTCAATTACCTCAACCTAGAAATGCCCTCACAGCCCAGAGGTTTCCAGGCTGATTCTACAGTTTGTCAAGATAGCAATCAAGATCAACCATCACAAGGGCCACTGGTTGCAAAGTTATTTTCTAAGGATTAAAAGGATAAAAACTTTGAGAAACAGTTGGTTAAGAGACTCAACTCACCACCATGTAATCAAACAACGGTATTATTAATATTCCTTAAAATAAACACTGCTGGACTGGAGAGGTGGCTCAGCGGTTAAGAGTGTGTGTTGCTCTTACAGAGGACCTAAGTTCAGTTCCTAGCACCCACATCCAGTAGTTCACAACCGCCTGTAACTTCAACTCCAGGGATCCAGCACCCTCTTCTGGTCTCCACAGGCTCTTCCATTCATGTGTATACACCCCCATATAGAAAAGCTAACATACACATAATTAAAAATAACTAAAAAATGGATCTTAAAACAAAGATGACTCAAAAAAAAAAAAACAAAAACCCCACTACTTCAGAGCACTACAGCTGTTGATAAGCTGGATCGATATAGCAATTCTGGAGTGATTAGAAGAAGCTTCTGCAGGGCCCTCGGTATCAAAACACCTGGTCAGACGAGTGTGTTGGCACCCATGCTCGGCCGCTCGGTTGCTGCTCTATGATGGCAGTCACCAGGGTGGCAGATGAGGTGGATACCACCCCATAAACTCAGATCTACATGCCTGCACATCCTGCATCACGCCTCTAACAAAGAAAGACAGGATTAAACTCCTCTGTCAAGTATCTGATAGCTGTAAATGAAGGACTCAGGTCTCCATGGCCAAATGTGAGTGTGATATACTCTAATCACTAGCAGACAGTCTCGGTGTTTTCAAAGATAGAGGAAAGGAAAATGTGCAAAGCATGGCTTCCTACCAAGTTAGAGTAGCTGGAACCACTTACTGATAGCAACTCCCAACTGTCACACATCCCCTTATTTTTGGACATTTTTATGGGATCTTTAAGGGACTCAGAACTTCACTTTAAAGCAAAGTTTCGTGATGCTGCTTCTCTAAAGAAAACAATTGCTTTATTTTATGACAGCACAAGAAAAATGAAAAAGCAGATATTTCCAATGTAAGACTTCCGACCAGCTCTTTATAAACGGAATGAAGTATTGCTCTGTCTGTTAGTGTGCTCAAACCAGCAGAGTTTTATCCTGAACCCTCCTGTGTCACTGCACCAGGAAACTGCAGCCTTATAAGTATCACCTCTGGTCTTCTGACAGTGCTCCTTGTTGATTAGGTAAATACTCCTTAGCTGATCAAACAATGACTTAGCCACAAGGTGGTATGTCTGGGCTTGTCGGTCATATTGGACGTGCAAGCCCACATGAATTACATCCCAGGCATGCATAGAACGTGCTGGCAAAATAAGGCCTGTTGTAGTCCTCGGGGTCAATTAGGAGAACAAACAGGGTCTTTTGGCCTGCATGGAGGAAGGGGAGGGTTGAAGGGCATGCCAGCCACTTCTAACAGTATCCTGTCAAGTACCCTCTGGCTCACACAAGGGAGTGTGAGTTTGTTCATCTAACGAAAGCCGAGTCATTGCTTCATTGGATGGCGTAATCTCTTGCCTGTACTAGATGTGCATCTATCTAAGGATGGCACTGGTGTGTACTAGTGTGGAGGACAGCACCTCTGCCATACCACGCTGTAGGCTGACTGCGGGGCCAGG